GTACATAATTTCGCTCCACCACATGTACCACATGAGGTGCGAATGACAATAAAGAAACTCTGACTGACTGACTCTGATTTGTTGAAGCGTTTTGTGATTTTTATCTTGCGAAGCGCTATATAAATAAAGTTTAACTTACTTACTTACCGGTAGATGTTAAAGAACCGGAAGTAGGAAGAAACTTCTAGAGACCACAAAATGTAGCAAAATACTGACATTTAGCATGCACAAAGGTCAGGTTGGAAAACTAAGATAAATGGTGGGGATGGTTCAATCCCAAAACTCAACTTGGTGGCACAAAAATACACTATAGCCCATATTTGTGTTTTTTATTCGTTTTTGGTGGTCAATAATATTACAATTCCTGACAAAGTCTTAAAATATTTCTTTTGCTGTCAAAATTTTTTCAAATGCTAATGCAAACTCAGTCATTTCACTACCATTTAGTGTCCCTTAGAAGAAGAAAAAGACCCACTGAATCCTATTATCAGCCTTCACCATAGACATTAGTACTGTGGTTATTTCTCCTTTTAGCATGCCAAGCTAACAGTAGTTTCCATTTCCATGCTCTACACACCAATTGACACAGGCTGCTTTTGGTTGTCAAAGCAATGAACAAAATGGGTTCTGCTCCTTCTCACACTACATGAGGTGGCAAAAGATCGTCTCTGCAGCTGTGGGGGAAAAGAACTCTTGAGAAATCCTCCACATCAGGAGTGCTCGACCAGCCTTGGGCTGAAGTGTGCCTGCCTGTTGATAGAGGTTCCCAGCTTGTTCCGGGACTGCTCCTGCTTCTTCGTGAAGAGCATCCAAAGATGGCTACCAGGCCAAGCTTGTCTTTCTATGGTAGGAAGGAACCCTAATTGTTAACAAGTGGTCTACCGCCTTGCAATGACGAGAAGCAAGACGAAGGTGTTGATGCTGAACCTGTGCTACAAGTAGCTGTGGCTCCGATGGTGGCTACACCTGTAAAGGGTATCCTGGAGATGGACTACAAGAATGGCAACAAAAAAATCCCAGAGCTTTACGTGTCCAGGACGGCATGTGCATGAAAATGCAGTGTGCAAATGCGCTGCTTCCAGGGTCTACACCCCCTGGCCTGTAGGAGTAATAAAAGAACACTAGATGTTGCTATGAAAGTAAGAAATGTCACTTCACCTTGACAAAAAGAGCCTACAGAGCCATGAATGCTGCTGTTAGAGTGTGCAATGTTTCCTCCAAGTTTTCCACGCTGAGCCATGCCAGGACTTGGCAACCAAGCTGACCCTGGTGTGTAGGAGGAAATCACTGCAACTACAGGCATCTGCCTATGCATGTGGTGTTGCATGGTCCAAGCCACAGGAAAATCAATGGGGATGATTGTTTTACAGAAAAGAGCAAGGTTGCTCAACCTGACCAACCTGTTAAGACAGAGAGAAAGAGGACATTATGGACATGCCCGTTGTTTATGCGGGTATATTTGGCTCTCCCTAAACCTCTATGCAGCAGTAATGTAAGACATAGGAAAAGGAAGAGGAGGTGCTCCAACTTTGTCCACCCATTTCAATGGAACTTTGCCCCTGGCAGTTCCACAGCAAAACACCCATGGTCACAATGGGGTGTGTTATGGCACTAGACCATTGTAATCAGCTGGCTTTCCTGAGGGCTTTGTCCTGCCATGAAGGTTGTCATGACTGAAGTGAGACTGTCAGGTTGAGGAGGAATTCACAAAGGCCAGTGAGCAAGAGCTCTCTGGAGCTGGGACCTCCAGCAGTTTCACATAAATTATCTAGAGCATTGTTTCCCACCCTAAAGCGCTTCATCTCATTCTTCGAATATCAAGCCCTTCTGTAGGTACAAAAATAGCTAGTTTTTATAATCAGTTGGTGGTCTTATTTTTTTTTCTACCAAATGATCATTTGACCAATGATCAAACTGTATTCCCACTTATAGTAAAGTAACTGTATTAGCCTTGTGACTTAAGTACTGCATACTTTATACTGTACTTTAACAATCTGCAGGAATGTGGATGTAAATCATGCAAGATGCTACTGATGAAATTAACCAAGAGCAGACTTTATTACTATCCATCTTTTACAAACAATGTAAACACATTTTTGTTAAATTACTTTAGTTCTAATGGATGCAGAGGCAGTAGATGGTAAACCTCAATGTGGTTTCTGTCACTGGAGTTACCTTCAAGTTGGCAAAGTGCTCCAATAAAGTTTAAATCTTGTTTTGATGGGTCATGCCATTTCTGCTGTTCATTTGTCTGAGAGGTTTTGCTTTCCAATTTGGTTTCATATTTTCCCCAAACATTTTATTTCTCACAGTTTGTTTTGGTTTAAATAATAACCTTGTGGCTGAATTTGCCAACATGCAATTTTCTTTTACTTTAAAACAACACTATATAGAACTTGTTGCATTCTGCTTATTGAGTGAAGCTCAAGGAAAAAAAGCTTGGTATGCAAAACATAAAAAATATTAATATCAAAAGAACACCGACTCACACAACAGCCTTAACTTTTTTTCTGGCAAAAATAAAATGTACAGGTTTCAAAAACCAGAAACTATACGCTCAAATAAAAACAGGCTTGAATTTAAATTGAACAACTTATACCTATTTAGCTGAAAGCGGTAATCTAAATTAAACATGTAAAAAAATGTAACACAAAACCATTTTCTGGTTGGCACTTGTAAATGAAGCAGCTCAAAGAAAAAAGAGCTTGTCTGACAGCTGGATGGCTGGCTCTGAGTGCAGGTACTGGCCAGCCAGGAAGGCTAATTTGTGAGCATATTTGCATGGAGCTGGAACACGAATGGTTCCTGGCCAGTTCCAGTACAGATGGCACATCTTGAAGGTCAGTCTGGAAAAACAAAATTAGTAAGTTTAATAACTCTAAACACCTTCAAAATGCTTGTAGCTACGGACAAAATGTAATGGGAAATGTAAAGGTAACTGGGACCCTGTGTACACAATTTCGTTCCACATGTACCACATGTGGTGCGAATGACAATGAAGAACCTGGACTTGACAAAGCTGTCATTTATTTTCACTTTAGCTGCTGCTCTCTGCAGGGGCCACCACAGCAGGACAACTTGCACAGTCTGTGTTCCCAGTTCTTCATGAAAACAAAATTCACTCATTTTTATCTAATTCCTGAAATTCCAGGAGATATTTCGGTCATAAGAAATGCTCAGAACTTAACGTTAGTGTCTTAGGTGGCGGGCAGATAAACAATGAGGGATGACTGTAAGTAAACTAGGGCTGCAACAACGAATCGATAAAAATTGATGATTAAAAGTGTTGGCAACTAATTTCATTATCGATTCGTTGTGTCGCGCATTTATGCATCTTTCATGGCGCTGCGGAGCCGTTTCGTTTTGTTCACGGGCAGTTCATTGTCAATGTTGACTGACTGAATAAAGTTTGAAAAAAAAAAACTGCAGCGCGAGTTGAACAGAGCAAGGGGGGGAGCAGAGCAGAAGCTGTTTTCAAAGGAAATATAAGTAAATTTTACAAATGACCAATGCAGCGAAAACTGTTCGACCCAAGTCCTGCAAAGTGTGGGAGAACTTTGCTTCCTGGAAGTATTCCTGAGCCCATTCTGTTATTTCCTTGACAGTGGCATTCCTGTTTGAGGTGCAGTGACGTTTAAGGGCCCGGAGATCATGAGCATCCAGTAGAGTTTTACGGCCTTGACCCTTACGCACGGCGATTGTTCCAGATTCTCTGAATCTTTTGATGATGTTATGCACGGTTGATGATGATAACTTAAAAGTCTTTGCTATTTTACGCTGGGTAACACCATTCTGGTATTGCTGCACTATCTTTCTGCGCAACAATGGTGGAATTGGTGATCCTCTTACCATCTTGGCTTCTGAGAGACACTGACACTCTGAGAAGCTCTTTTTATACCCAATCATGTTGTCAATTGACCTAATTAGTGTTAATTGGTCTTCCAGCTCTTCATTATATGCTCAATTTCCTTTTTCCACCCACTTATTGCTACTTGTCCCAACTTTTTTGGGATTTGTTGACACTGTGAAATTTTGAATCAACATATTTTTCCTTTAAAATGTTACATTTACTCGGATTAAACTGTTGATGTGTCATCTATGTTATATTACGAATAAAATATTGACATTTGCCATCTCCACATCATTGCATTCAGTTTTTATTCACAATTTGTTTAGTGTCCCAACTTTTTTGGAATCCGGTTTGTATATGTCACTGAGCTGGGTGCACCCACAGCACCACTAACACACCCAAAATGTATTCCACCGCAAGAGTCAGCCAGAAGATATGCCTTATTGAAAGACTGCTCAGTACAACATGACAGCTTCTCTCTCCCTAAAGAGCCAGATTGGACTCAAAAATCTTTGAAAACCAACTTCTTCTGAACTTGAACAAGAAATTCTTGCTGCAATATTAAAATGTGTCAGTTCATGTTGTTAGGAGACAACATGTCTCCAAAAATCTCGACACTCAGGTCCAAGTTTTAAAAATGGTGTCAGGAAGTTAAAATATTGTTCACTATTGACCCGTTACAAGGTTTACTAGACAGTATTTGACTAGAGTTGATGACAAACTGGAGCTGAAATATCAGTTGAAATGATCAGTCTACAGGTCCTTCTCAAAAAATTTGCATATTGTGATAAAGGTCATTATTTTCCATAATGTAATGATAAAAATTAAACTCTCATATATTTCAGATTCATTGCACACCAACTGAAATATTTCAGGTCTTTAATTGTTTTAATACTGATGATTATGGCATACAGCTCATGAAAACCCAAAATGCCTGTCCCAAAAAATTAGCATAACATGAAAAGGTTCTCTAAACAAGCTATTAACCTAACCATCTGAATCAACAACGTAACTCTAAACACCTGCAAAAGATTCCCGAGGCTTTTAAAAACTCCCAGCCTTGTTCATTACTCAAAACCACAATCATGGGTAAGACTGCCGACCTGACTGCTGTCCAGAAGGCCATCATTGACACCCTCAAGCAAGAGGGTAAGACACAGAAAGAAATTGCTGAACGAATAGGCTGTTTCCAGAGTGCTGTATCAAGGCACCTCAGTGGGAAGTCTGTGGGAAGGGAAAAGTGTGGCAGAAAACGCTGCACAACGAGAAGAGGTGACCGGACCCTGAGGAGGATTGTGGAGAAGGGCCAATTCCAGAGCTTGGGGGACCTGCGGAAGCAGTGGACTGAGTCTGGAGTAGAAACATCCAGAGCCACCGTGCACAGGCGTGTGCAGGAAATGGGCTACAGGTGCTGCATTCCCCAGGTCAAGCCACTCTTGAACCAGAAACAGCGGCAGAAGCGCCTGACCTGGGCTACAGAGAAGCAGCACTGGACTGTTGCTCAGTGGTCCAAAGTACTTTTTTTGGATGAAAGCAAAGTTTGCATGTCATTCGGAAATCAAGGTGCCAGAGTCTGGAGGAAGACTGGGGAGAAGGAAATGCCAAAATGCCAGAAGTCCAGTGTGAAGCACCCACGGTCAGTGATGGTCTGGGGTGTCATGTCATCTGCTGGTGTTGGTCCACTGTGTTTTATCAAGTGCAGGGTCAATGCAGCTAGCTATCAGGAGATTTTGGAGCACTTCATGCTTCCATCTGCTGAAAAGCTTTATGGAGATGAAGATTTCATTTTTCAGCACGACCTGGCACCTGCTCACAGTGCAAAACCACTGGTAAATGGTTTACTGACCATGGTATTACTGTGCTCAATTGGCCTGCCAACTCTCCTGACCTGAACCCCATAGAGAACCTGTGGGATATTGTGAAGAGAAAGTTGAGAGACACAAGACCCAACACTCTGGATGAGCTTAAGGCCGCTATCGAAGCATCCTGGGCCTCCATAACACCTCAGCAGTGCCACAGGCTGATTGCCTCCATGCCACGCCGCATTGAAGCAGTCATTCATGCAAAAGGATTCCCGACCAAGTATTGAGTGCATAACTGAACATGATTATTTGAAGGTTGGCGTTTTTTGTATTAAAAACACTTGTCTTTCATTGGTGGGATGAAATATGCTAATTTTTTGGGACAGGCATTTTGGGTTTTCATGAGCTGTATGCCATAATCATCAGTATTAAAACAATTAAAGACCTAAAATATTTCAGTCGGTGTGCAATGAATCTGAAATATATGAAAGTTTCATTTTTATCATTACATTATGGAAAATAATGACCTTTATCACAATATGCTAATTTTTTTAGAAGGACCTGTATAAAAAATATTCCATAACATTTTTAAGAACGAACAAGAACAAGAAAGAATTGGGGTGGCACAGTGGTTCAGTTGGTAGAGCTGTTGCCTTTCAGCAGCCCGGGGGCCTTTCTGGACGCAGTCTGTATACCTGCAAGCTCGATGCTTTTCAGCAAAATTCTCCAATTTCATTCGAGGATGGTGGGTGGGGGTCAGAGGCGTGGTGGATAGCATCATTTCCATTTAATAAACCGTGTTCCTCCTCGGTCACTGGGCTTAGCAGATGCTCATCTCTTTGAGGGTTGACGGGGCAGGGTGAGGAGGGGGAGACACCTTCTTGTTGTGCACTAGCTTACGTTAGTAATGGAAGTTTCCGACTGTGGGGGGTGGGGAGATAAGATGTTTTAGATTGTCTGTTTTCTTTGTTGCAGGTAAAAGGTAGAACACTGCCTTTGGAAACCATCTGTCTTCAGATGTCATCCTTTACAAGTGGGCCTGATGTGTCCTGGTCTAGAGAAGTTGTGAGGGATCCTTCAATCAGCTCTGTGAGTCTTGTAACAAAGCTTCAAAGCAACATAAGCTTTCAGCTACAAAGTTGAGAAAGATGGTCACCAGTGTTACCAGTTTTTTTTTTGTTGTTGTTTTTTATGAAGGACAAAGTTAACACTTTTTTTAGTAACTTATTCAACCTAGATATTAGTAACGTGAGTAACGTAACCCATTTTTCTTGTAGATTCCACTGAACCTCTGGGCCCTTTTCTACCCTCGTCGTTGTGCAGACCAGGCTGAAGAGCTGGTTTCAACCTTCAACAAGGTGGCTGGGCCTATCGGGGTTCGACTGGAGCGACCCATTCGAGTGGAGCTAAGCAACGATCGGACAGAGACATATGTCAAGAGCATCCACAATCAGCTCACCAATGAGGTATGATGCAAACTTTAAAAAGTATAATCTTCTCTTTGCGTTCAACACTGTTCACTTCAAATGCTTGTTAGGTCACATGATTGCTCGTAGTTTTACTTGAGCATTTGAAATATCATCTTGTGGTCAATTGTGCATGGTGGCACAACTGGGCGACTCTCAGCATGCAGGTCGCCCCAGTTCAAATCCAGTCTGGGGGCCTTTCTGGGTGGAGTTTGCATGTTCTCTCCGTGCATGCATGGGTTTTCTCCAGGTACTCCAGTTTCCTCCCACAGACCAGAATCATGTATGTTAGTCTGATTGGTAACTCTAAATTGTCTCTAGGTGTGAGTGAGAGAGTGAATGGTTGTTTGTCTCTGTGTCCCTGTGATGAACTGGAGACCTGTCCAGGTTGTCCTCCACCTCTCGCACAATATCTGGACATGGGCACCAGTGACCCCGGCAACCCAAAAATGAAGAAGTGGATAAAGATAATGGGTGGAGCTTGTGTTCAGGTTTTTTTTAACAAATATGTTTATGTTTTAACCAAAATAATACATTGCACTAATCTATATGTAGTCAAAACTTGTCATAGTAATTAAAAAAATGTTCCATTAAAATAAAATTCCTGTAGGCTATGTATAATCCTGTGCAATAGTCTTGCTTAGGGCTGTAATTATACATGTATCTGTAACTTTTGAACCTATTTCCAGTGAAATATAAAGAAATAAGATGTGGCTCAGAACTTTTGCACATGATACGAATCACTGTAGCACACTTTTCAAAATGTGGACATATCTGTTGTTCTCATGAAGCGGAACTCAAAGATGCAGTAAAATCTGTACCAAGTTTGAATTTCAGATCTGTTTGCAGCCCAGTTTGCAGCTTGTCGTGTGCATCATAGTCGGCAACAGAGATGATCTCTACAGTGCCATCAAGAAGCTGTGTTGTGTTAAA